CCAACTTCCTCCTTCCTTCGTCCCCCCTCCCCCCTTCCCTCCCTCCCTCCCTCCCTCCCTCCTCCCCTCCCTCCCTCCTCCCCTCCCTCCCTCCCTCCCTTCCTCCCTCCTCCCCTCCCTCCCTCCCTCCTCTTCTTCCTCCCATTCCTCATTCCTTTACAGACTCGCTCATCGAGAGAGCCAAACGCTCTCAGCTCGCAGCTGCGCAAGTCCTCTCACCAGCAGACAAGTCCATCTTCGCACACACGTGAACCCTTTGACCTGTCGTCTGTCCTCCTCACCTGACAGCAGCAACGGACGCACCTCCTCCTCTCGCTTCTCCCCTGAGTATTCGAGAAAGATGGACAAGGGGATGAGTTCGCAGCTTCTGGAGCAGAGCGCGAAGCTGAGAAATGAGGCTGAGAGGCAGGTGGGGGCTGCTGGGCCTGACGCCTCATATTTTATCGAGCGATCGTCGTGAAATTTGTGTTTGTTGTCACTGGTGATGATGGTAGTTGTTGCTGTGAGAATCTCTCAAATGCCGATGGTTGTCAATCCATCCTGTGAAATTTTCTCAGAGAATTCTTGATGATTGTATTCTGCGGCCAGTCTGGTGGATTTGCTCGTTGATGATTGTCTTCAGTTGAACTATGTGGACGATTTGCTCTCGCGCAAGTCCTCGCGGAACGAGCCTAGGAAAGGAAGAGACCCAAGTAACGGAGAGACCCTCGGCGAGCAGGCGAGAGGTCAAGACATGATCAGCAACCGGATGGAAGATACGATGATGCGCTACACAGAGCTCTACAGCGATGAACATACTCCTTCCCATGTCAGAGAAAAGTTCCAAGAGCAGGAGGTTTCAGCGCGAGGTAGTCATGCGAGTACACGAGGGGACGAGGAGAGCCCCGCAGCCCATGCACGTGAGGACGAAACGTCGGGATCGATGCAATATGCTAGAACGCAAGGAAGGAGTTTGAAGCAGAGGAACAAGGCGGAGTTGTTGCCAAGGAGACATGAAGAGGAGGAGGAGGACGAAAACGATTCGAGCAAGGAAGATGAAGGATCGAGACAAAGTTCGCATCATGAACGGGACCTTTCCGACAATCAGGTTGCGGATAAGCCACGTTCTGTTTAGTGACTGACGAGTCGCTGTGTTTGTAGAGTCCACACGTGGAAGCCCCTGCGCGACAAGCCCGTCGGTCGGAAGAAGAGTTCGATCAGCTCGAGAAGTGAGTTGATGTTTCTGATTGAACGTGAGAAGATGAGAAACTGTCAGGATGGTGCAAACATGCCTGGCAACGAGTAAGCAAGCAATGGCAATGTCGTCTCAGGCACAGAAGGTGAGCTGATTGTGAAACTGAAGAGATTGCTAGTCGGCTGATGAGATGACTCTCATTGTGTCAGATCGCCGAAGAGTGCAAGCAAATGCTCATGACGTGGAGAGAGAAAGATCACAATCACCAAGACGCCATGGCACGAGTGAAGAAATTTGTTGAGGAGAGCAAGTGGCATGCCAACGAAGGTGATCGAGCTTAATCTTGACGATGACCATGACATGGTGGTAGCCATGACCTCCTTCCATCGAGCAAAGGAAGAGTTTGAGCAGCTGAAGCAATCTCGAAGCGCACGTCAGCTCTTTCCCTTGTCATCTCTACCGACTTGTGATGATTCCTCAGCAGTTGTCGAACGAGTTGAGGTCGCTGACCGGGACAGCGGAACGACGCACATGAAAGCGCAAGAGCAACAGTCCCTGTCCCAGGAGGAAACAAGTCCTCAGCCAACGACGATAAGGAGAGAAGCTGCGAGCGAGAGACGAGTCGACGAGGCTCCACACTCAAGTCCTGCTCCCCCGCCTGCTCCTCGCACCGTCTCCTCTCAGCCCTCCCCGTCTCGCTCTCCTCAACCTGACGTCGTTCGCAAGTCGATGGTTGTACGAGCCCTCATGGAGTTGCGATGACGGTCTTCCGCTGCAGGAGGCACAAGAAGAAGCTCGCAGGCTGTTGGAGAAGTTCTCTCACGGTCTCGTCCTCACGTGCTTGACCTCACTTGACTCGTTGAAACAGGTGGCACGAAAGACACCAACCATGCAAGGAAGGTGTCGTTCGGCCAGGCCCGCCCTGAGATGTCGACTACAAGAGGAGAAGAGAATTCGGCAAGCTCACAAGACAACATCAGGCAACTCAAGCTCACTCGTGTTCGTTTCTTCGCTCACATGCTGACATGGTTTCGGCAGAAGTCGACCTCAAGCCTCTCCGTCGCTTTCTCCTCCGGCACAGCAGCGTTCTGCTCCTCTAGAAGCGATTCCTGCATCTCTGCACAAGGTTTGTTCACGTGCTCTCCTGCATGAAATTTTGAATTTACTCGTCCTATTATAGGAAACCACAAACAAGACCGAAGCTCCTCAACTCAACGAGCAGAGGCATTGTGCTTTATTTGCGGCTATTCCATCTGATCTATTGAAAAGGAACTTCTCCTTCTTGCATGCTCGTGAAGAAAGGGAGAAAAAGATCAATGACATCAAACGGCTCCTCAATGTACTTCTCAGCCATCTCCAATTCATTCCCATAACATCTGTCCTTGCAGCTAATGCAGCAGTAATTCTAAATTGCTGCATATCCTCCTGGAGAAGTGACTCATAGGTAGAGAATTGTTGATAATGTAATGATTGAAAGAGAAAAACTTTGCTTGCTCTAGCACGTGCTGGGTTGTGGTAAATAACACTCAAGAGACGTCATTAAAGGATAGGAAATTAACATGAAAACACTAAAATTGACATGGACATTGCCAGGATGACATGTCATGTGGGCATTGACAACCATTCAAAGCAGGTGGTTCCATCCAGGGCACTTGAAGGCATCGGGAGTTTGACCTCACGGGTTCCTTGCCTTGTAAAGTCGATCAACACGCTGCAGCACCAACACAAACACTATCATCTCACGGGGTTCTTATCTTCAAACGCTTCAGCGTCCACTCGTTGCTGGGCCGCGCCATCGGCCGGGGCTCCTCGAGCTCGAGCTCAAACCCGCAGATCTGAGAAGCGACGTCAGCATCTGCTCGTGCTCGCTCGAGCTCCTCACTTCGCATCTCGTCGACCACGAGTTGATCTGGGCGTCGCACGCCATGCAGCGTTTGGATCGTTTCGACTTACGACTGCTGCTCTTCGGTGCTGCGATGAGAGACCAAACGTCAGAAGGCGGCTGTTGAGCTTGTCATCATTCTTACTGGCATTGAGCTCCAACTTCAAGCGCGGATCAGAATTTTTCTCTTTTTGTGAACAACTCGCGCACTCGTTGAACTCGAACAAACGTATTATCTCTAGTTTTATGGCTTTGTTAACCATCGCAGATGGTCTCAATCAATCCTATGATTTCCTCGCAACTCTGTGAACTCCGCCAGGCCTCTCACGCTAGAATCCCCGCCCCACGTTCTATTCTGTTCGCCAGTTTTCTGTGCGTTGTCTCATGTACCAGCCCGTTATCCCGTGGATCTTGCTTGTGTGATGCGCAGAATCTCCTGTCTGAAGGTTTTGGCTCCCCAAAGTTTCTGTCCCCTCCTCCTTTACTACCTCTCTCCTCTCATGTTCCGCTCATCACAACTGTGCGTTGCCATCTGCCATAATCTGTCTGGTCAACCCTCCCTGGTCCCACAGGCCCCACCCCCGTACCCCCATGAACAATTCGGAATTCCATGAGTACCCCTTGTCTTCAATGATAACCTCTGGGAGATGACCGGGTATTGGACACTACCCCACCCACAGTTCTTAAAGCCCTCCTGCCCATTTTCGAGCCTTACAGGACGGTCCATCAGGACCACCCCACCCTCATATTTTCTCATGGAACCTCTCCAGGTTCCCATAACCCACCGTGAACGCTTCCAACCCCATCCTTGTCTACCCCTACCCCCTGGTTCTATTTCGAGTACCCTAATTGATGAACGACGACGGGAACTTGATAACCCCCCACCCCCACAAGCAACACCCTTGACAAATGACCACCGGTAGCTTGCATTTAGGTCCCACCAAGCGACTCACCCGTTACAACGTTGAACCTGCCAGTGGCCTCGGTCACTACCCCACCCACTCAGGATCCCCCTCGGAGGCTCAGGGCCTGGTACTACCGGCTACGGTAACCGCCCCTGCGACGTTGTGCCGTGGTGTCTTCTCAGGCCACTTCCCTGTCGATTTGGCATTAGAAGAGACCTAAGGAAATTGCTGGGCCTGGGCCTTCGCTGCAGGTAAGTGAGACAGGCTACAGCTCTCACTCATCATGGCATTGCACCCCTGGCAAGCCTCTGAGTGGGTTGCAGGGGTCCTTCGAGTCCCGCCTCGGCCGCCGGGTGCCGTACACTGACCCTGATTGTCCTCGTACTGATTTTTAACTTAACTTTGAGTAAAGAGACCGGACTCCGTGACAGGCGTCATCTGGTGCTACTCTGTGACTGGGACTGACGGTGCTAAGTAGACGGTACTGCCGTGATCGCCGCCGGCCCGGGCCGGGATGGCCCACCGTGACTGATCGGCGCCGCGGACAGGCTGGGCCGGGCGGCCGCGCCGCTGATGATGATGACCGACATGACAGTGCCAAGCGGCCACTGGCCCAGTCCGATCAGTCGCTCACTAGGCTACCAGTCAGTGTGCCAGCCTGTACTCACTGTACGGTCGGATCTTTACTCGCCGTCGGATCGGACATTGCCCGGCCCACTGCGGCAGGCGGCCGGTGACCGCCGGCCCCCGCCGAACTTCATCCTATCGGATCGCACCGCGGCACCGCCGAGTCGACGGTCCCAGGTCCGAGTTTGACCATACTATGGGCGCGCATGCCGTTCAGTCCGTGACCGTCGGACATCAACACTGACTAATAATACTGCGCGGCCAGTCGGAATCACTGTCAGTACTACCGTATACCTCGCGGCGGGAGGCCCGGTCGGATACTCACTTGAACTTTTAACTCCGTTCAACTTGAAATTCAATAATACTTCACTCAAAGTTCACTTACCGTAAATCAGTACGTGCACAGGCCAAACGGCGACAAGAGACAAGGCAGACATTCAGTGCTCACTTGAGCGGCCTCAAGGCTCAGGTCGTCGCGGCCTCGTTGATGCCCCAGGAAGTTTTTTGAGCCTCGTCAAGTGACGGTGCAGAGAGTCGCCAGATGTCTCAGTCTGTGTTGCCCCGTCGATGCAGTCGACAGGGCTGAGTGAAGGTGAATCAGTACAGTAAGGGAGGTAAGCAACGGTGAGCCGGTTGCTGTGTCAAGGAAGAGGAGGGAGGGAGGGAGAAGGGAGGGAGGGAGGGAGGGAGGGAGGGAGGGAGGGAGGGAAGGAACTGAAGGAGTGAGAGATAATGTTTACCGTACCTTATAGAGATTGCCGAGCTCTGGATGATACATTGCAGCGCGCTGTCAAACTGGGCACAACAAAGTGAGGAGGAACAACATTGGCTCGAGAACATTCGATTTACCTTCGTCTCCCTAGGGATTCTTGTCTGAGTTGAAACCTGCGCTACGCCGAAGGAGTGCATCGGCGCTGGTCGCACATCTTTCCGAGGAAGCGAAAGCTGCTTGTCTCGGTCCGAAGAGTGAAATCTCGGAGAGTTTGCTAGGCTCGGGCTCGGGGACCCAGAGTGGAGGCGCTTAAAACTCTCAGCGCTGCCGATCCTCCCGTCCCGCATGGAGGATCTTCTGGAATCCATGCCGGGCATCCACGGCTGCTCGACCTCAAACTCCAGACCCTTGTGCTTGGCCTCTGTCCCTTCCACTTCCTGGATCAGGGCTGTTCCTACAGATGTGTAGGCGTACTCGGCAGAAGCAGGGTTGCCATTCACAGCCTCCCTTTGGGTTTGGCCACTGCGATGGCTGATCTTGTCCTTTTCCGAGAGCTCTCGCTCCATCTGAAGCACGATGTTTGCATGATACATCCACCAGTTGAGGTATCCGCTCGCGGAGATGTCAAGACTGTGCGTGTTGCCCATGGTGGCGATGAGGAGGTTGACGAGGAGGATGGTGGAGAGGGCAATGAAGGCGATGTGGACTAACCAGACGTCCGCGAAGGTGCTCCCTGCTACCTCCACCTCGTCCTGTCGAACATCCCCGAGCGTGACGTAGAGATATCGAACGACGTAGTCGAAGTTGGAGACGGGAGCATTCATCGTTAGCAACTCCGAGAAGCCAGAGCCGAGGAAGGAGCCGTGCTCCAAGGAGGCATCCTGAATGAGGATGTAGACGGACTGCGAGAAGCCGAGGAGGATGAAGATGTAGACGAACAGCCACTTGAACACATCTCCGATGAGCATCTTCCAGATTGTCATCAGCAGGGGCCCGATGAAGCGGAAAGGGAGGAGCATGTGCAGCAGGCTGCACCAGAGGACAAGCATCAGCCACGCCATGAGCCGAAACTCGTCGCGGTGGATGTTAGCCGAATGACTGGCGTCGTTCCATCCCCTCGCTCCCTTGTGCCCTGAGATGCGCAAGATTGCAACGGCGGTCAAGCAGGTGGCGCTCGTGAGGCAGCTCACGGAAGTGACGTTCTTGTACAGGAAGAAGATCATCTCATCGAACGTCAGTTGGAAATCCTCGTCGGGATCCAAGTCTCTCCTGCGAAGGCGAGCTTCAAAGTAGCTGAGGTAGAAGAGGTACGGGATGCCAATAAGGTACACAATGATGTCGATGATGATGATGCCCTCTTCGCTCGCCGTCATGATCAGCGAGTCGCTGTTGATACCATCATTCATCACGTCCTGCCAGACCTGTCGACATCTCCGCTCAAAGGATATCGTGCAGAAGATAACGAACGTGAGGTAGGGAAGGAAATGGTAGCGGAGATATCGAAAGCGTGCAAAGGCGAGCCATTTGCCGTCCACGAGATCTCGGAAGATCTTGACAAACGCAAAGGAAACGATCTCGTGCTCCACCAGCACTTCGACTGCGCTTTTCCATCGGGGGTCATTGTGGAGATGGTAAGTGGCACAGGAGGAGTAGGGGACAGCTTGAACCCTGCGGGAGGGTCGCAGCTTCTCCCACAGAGACGAGGCTGCTACCTTGATCTTCATGCGTTTGTCACGCACGAGGTACGAGCGAACGGGCTGGAAGGCTTTGTCGTCGCTCCTGTCGGGTGAGTTGGATCGTTCTGACGTTCTGAAGCTGTCGATCTGAAAGAGAGGAGTCGCCACCATCGCTACTTGACCATAAGTCCATGCCAAGTCTTGCATCCTGAGCCTCAGGACGGAGAAAGCTTCTTTTTGGGATCGTCGGACGGCAAGTGTGAGGGGAGTGAGATTGTCTTGATTGAGCATGCACATGGATGGCTCCGCGGAACTGTCAAGAAGCCACCTGATTGCGTCGATATTTCCATGCTGAACCGCCATGTGTAGAGCAGTATTGCCTAGGTGATCCCGGTTGTTTAGAAACGCCGAGTATAAGGTCTTGCAATCCAACTTGTCATTTTGCGATCTATGTTCATCGGTGTTTTCATAATGCCACGTTGTCAGATAATCCACAAGCTCCGTCACCTGCTCCTTATTAGCTTCCTCAATTTTGTTTTCCTCATACTGCTTCAATAACTTGAAGGCTCGGCCTGCGATCTTGTGGCAGATTCTTGGGCTCGCGACGCTGCAAGCGAAAGAAAGAGGAAACTCCCCATAGTGACAAGCTCCTCCTAACGTGTTCATCTGGCGATTATGAGAAAAAAGCTTTCTGTCAATTTCAAGCTCCTCGATACTGTAAGGTTGAAAGAAGATGCCTGTTGCCCGGCTCAGCAGATCTGCTCCTTGCTCAAGCAACCAAGTTATGCTCTCCTCTAGGTTCTGAACTATCGCTATGTGAAGAAGGCTCTCTCCGGTGAACATTCCTCCGTCCTTGCCTGATGCGACGTCCATGAGGCGACTGATAGGAAGGAGAGCTTCCTCCCTTGTTGAATCCCCAAATCGTTCTCTAATAAATGCACAAATCGCATGATCTGCATCACCCTCCTTGGTCTCTTTGAACCAAACTTTGAGATCATTTTCGTAAGTTACATTGACACAACTTCGTCGACGAACTTCTTGTTCATCCTTGCCTTGCTCCTCAGTTTTGACATTCTCGATAGCCTGCTTGATCATCTTCCTGCCCAACTCGTCCAGTCCGAACAAGAAAGCCAAGTGCACGGGAAGCTCTCCCACTGGGCCCCTGCATTCCATCCAATTTTTTTGCTGGGATTTCCTGAGAATGTACTCCTCCATGTTCTTCAGCTCTTTGATATGATCATTTCCCTCTGTGATATAATCATTTCCTTCACACAAGCTCTTCATCTCTGAGTACGCCTTGATGTACACGAAAGGAATCCACCGCCGCTGCCCGTGCAAGTTCTTCTCGTGCAAAACAATGAGCATCTCCCTTCTCGTCGAGCATTGACGGAGCCGACTGAGAGTTGCAACATTCTCTTCTTGAATTTTCCGCGAGGATGACTCTCTTTCAATCTCATTCACATGCTGCCTGATGCTAGCAAGCTTCGCTCCAAGCATCTCCTGATAAATCTCATCGTTCAATGCGAAATCTTTCGCTGTGTTTGACTGATCGATATGAGATTCCTCGACATCTGGGTTGTCAAAGACTCCCAATGGATTCCTGAAACTCGTCTTCGTTGAGTTCTTCCTCCGCAAAACTGGGTTCGTCCTCCGCAAAACTGGGTTCGACACCATTTTTGCCTAAAAAGCAAGTAAGAGGCTGTTGTTGACTCCTTCTGACAGCTTCAGTCTGTGGCCTATCCTTTATCCTCTTTCAAATTTGTTATGTGGTGTTCATCTTTTGTTATCCTTTCAAAGAGTTACAGAAAGTTTGTCCTTCCTTCCTCATCAGACATGGTTGCTCATCGTCCTACTTATCTCCTTCTTCCTCTTCCTCTCGTCCCCCTCCCTCGACGGCCCCAGGCTCCCTTCCTTCTCCTCTTGCCTTCTCCCCCCCCGCCCCTCACATGGCTTTGTTGTTTTCATCTCCATCATCTCCATCATCCCATTTCATGCCTCGAGGCCAAACAAGGTATCACTGTGGGGTGGGTTCTTCGAGGCTACCGGACCCCTGCTGATCCATTCAAGTACCCCTCCTGAAAGTTACTTTTCTGTTGACTTTTCTAGACGGTAGGGTACTTGACTCATGGCGACTTTGAGGCAACATCAAGGGGGTGGGGTCCAACCGGAGGGGTCCTGGGGCACCTGAGCCCGGGTTCACAGACAGGTGGTAGAGCAGTTGGGCAGTCACTGAAACTTCTTCCATTGACCATCCGTACCACCCCCTTTTGACCTCCTCCCCGGGGGGGTAATATATACACCCCTCGGGCCCCCCTTTTAGAATGTTCGACTCACAGTACGGCCCGACGGTCCGACTCCGAGTCGGAGCTCAGTGACGGTGCCAAGCCTGTTGTTCAATGAGCGGCGGCCGCCAGTGCGGCCGCAGTGCCGCGCGGCGGCACTGTTAAGTAAAAAATCAGTACGAGGACAATCAGGCGAGTCTTATCTCGCGACTTGTCACGTTACCCTCGCGCCTGGTCACAACCGTGAACGGGTTGCCAAGTTGCTTGTTGCCAGTTGAGACGGCCGCATAAGTTATCCTCGGTCGGAAGCGACTATGTTTCTATCCTCCCCCCCTCCCTCCCTCCCTCCCTCCCATGCCAGTTTCCATACACCTCCTATTCCAATTTTGCTTGCTCTCCATTGGCCTTGGTATCCATGTCCATATGCTGCACATGCCTTAGTCTGAGTTGTTTTTGTTGAATTTCATCAACCGTCTTTCTCCCCTGCTTAGGAGTGCTGGTGACTTCTGATGTTCAGTCACTTTGTTGCTGGCTGGACACGACTGTTTCTTGTCTTGTTGTATACGAATGTGAAGAACTCATCATTCAGTTTATGTCAACAACATGAGTTCGATATTTTCTCCCTGCCATTACCTTACTGGTGTCACAGAATCCTAACACAGCATGTCCAAGTACGAGACTCGGCTTTTCATCGATGGCGAGTTCGTCAACTCGAAATCCGGCAAAACCTTCAAGACCTTCAACCCTGCGACCGAAGAAGTCATTTGTCAAGTGCAAGAAGCGCTTCCAGAGGACGTGGATCGTGCCGTGATCGCGGCGAACAAAGCCTTTGAAAGAGGATCACCATGGCGAGAGATGGACGGCACCAAGAGGAGGGACCTGCTCCTGAAACTTGCTGACCTCATTGAACAGAACAAAGAGGAGCTAGTCGCCTTGGAGTCCTTGAACAATGGCAAGCCCGTGTCCGAGGGTCACATTGACATCTACCTTGCCATCCAGCATTTCCGTTACTTTGCTGGATGGGCCGACAAGATGGAAGGCAAGACTCTTCCCGTAGAAGGCAACTTCTTTGCTTATACCTGGCATGAGCCAATCGGACCAGTTGGACAGATCATTCCCTGGAAGTGAGTACATCTGCACCGTGACATGATGTTTCTTGAGACTCTTTCTGCAGTTTCCCTGTGCTCATGCTTGCTTGGAAGCTTTGCCCTGCGTTGGCTGCTGGATGTACCGTAGTACTAAAGAGCTCCGAGAAGACTCCTCTGTCTGCTCTATACTGTGCTGGGCTCATCAAGAAAGCAGGCTTCCCCAATGGAGTTGTGAATATCGTTTCTGGCTTTGGGGATCCAACAGGAAAAGCGATCGCCAGCCACATGGACTTGACCAAGATTGCTTTTACAGGCTCGACAATGACGGGGCGTCTGATTCAGAAGTATGCAGCAGAGAGTAACATGAAGAAAGTGAGCCTCGAGCTAGGAGGAAAGTCTCCTCTCATCATTCTAGAGGATGCTGATTTACAGCAAGCCTTGAAGGTAGCGCAGGTGAGACTTTCACGTGTCATGCATTGATGATATTGTGAAGTATTCCTTCTCAGCTTGGCCTCTTTTTCAACCAAGGTCAAACATGTTGTGCAAGCTCTCGTATCTTTGTACAGGTCGAACTTCCAACCACAAGGAGTGTGATATTCTCATAACATGATTCTTGCAGGAGAGCATCTACGACAAGTTTGTCGAGTTGGCAACTCAACAGTCCAAAGCTAGAGTTCTTGGTGATCCGAGCAACCCTGAGACTATGCAAGGGCCTCAGGTCGACAAGATACAATTCGATCGGGTCATGGGCTACATCGAGAAGGGGAAGAAGGAAGGTGCCCGACTTACCACAGGAGGAGCAAGGTTCGGAGACAAAGGATACTTCATCCAGCCCACTGTGTTTGCTGATGTGCAAGACAATATGGTCATCGCAAAAGAGGAGATCTTTGGTCCTGTGATGTCATTGATGAAATTCAAAACCGTGGAGGAAGCGATCGATCGAGCCAACAACACAACCTTTGGCCTCGCAGCCGGTGTCTGTACGAAGAATGTGCAGGTCGGTTTGAAGATTGCCAGAGCTCTTCGAGCCGGAACTGTTTGGTTCAATTGCTTCAACAATGTTGACGCTGGTGTTCCATTCGGAGGTTACAAAGAGGTTAGTCTTAGCTTGTTCTTTCATCTCCACTCGTCCACTTACTTGCTCATTCGGGATAGAGTGGAAACGGGCGCGAAAAGGGACCTTATGCTCTCGAAAACTATGTCGAAGTCAAGAGCGTCATAATTCCTTACGATCCCTAAAGCATTGCTGTTGGTGACCCTCGAGCTTCGAGACTCGTTCGGAACGTCCCAAGTCTGAGGTAACTCAGACTGTGAATGAGATCATATTAGATTCTTATCAGTTAGTGGCTTGCTCACGTTGAATATACTACGTGTTTCACCGTGCCTCCTCAGTGTCACAGTCGACAGAGTCCGGGGTCCCGACGATGGCCCAGTAGATCCCATCTTCCCCACTGGGCCCTGTGATCTGAGACAGCGGATCGGCCGAGCCAGAGCTGTCAGACGTTGGCAGCCCAACCGGACTCCGAAAGATCAGCCTGACACTGAGTCAACCAACGGTGGCACATGGCCCTCGGCACCAGGAACTTTGTGAGTCCTGTTGTTAGTTGAGCATTTCTTTGCAATGCGACCCGGCTCCTGGGCGAGCCAACTTCAGTCACAGTGCGGCAAGCTTGAAGGCTGATCGGAATCCGGTGTTCGAAGCTCATCGCCCTTTACTGGATAGTTACACACTGTCTCTCTCCTGGGACTTCATGAGCATCCTAGAGATCGAGCTGTTTCCTCGTCCTGCTCCTGCACGCGCTTGAGAAAAAGGCATGGTTCTGCTCGTTCCATCCTCCTCGGACTGCGTCATCATTGTGGCTCCTGCTGACTGCTGCCAAGCAGCGCTGGCTCCATCCAACTCTCCATCCTCTCCTCCGTCTCCACTATTGTCGTACCTCTCGACACTGGCTCTCCCTCGGCCAGTTGCTCTCTGGCTGGATCCCGTGCTGCTAGGAAAGGTCGAGTATGCGCCCCTGCTGCCTCCTACCCCTTGCCTCATTGTCGGGTAGTGAGCGTTGTATCCTCTCCCCATCCCCCTTCCAGCCGCCTGGTAGCCCGCAGAGAGCTGATTCCCTCTCACGTCATATCCTGGGTATCCCATGGCAGCCGACGGGTCCATGGGATGCTGCTGTTGGAAGTTGCCGTTGAACTCATTGGCCATTTGGTTCGCTTTCATCTCCTCCATCTCCTGTGACCTGCAGGAAACAAGGGTAAGACCCTTCCCTGCCTCCTTCCTCAGACATCGTCCTCACTTCCTCTTCCAGAAGCGGAACCCTGCCCACGCCAGCAGGACAGCGAGCAGCCTCCTGAACAAGACAGAGGGATAAGACGATGCAACCGACACAGAGAGACTGACAGGAAGAGTCCAAAGGAGTCCTTGGGGAGAGACCAGATCCATCGCCCCTTGGAGAGAAAGCTTGTAAGGAACGAGCGAGAGAAAAGAATCAAGTCAACCATAGACCGCAGCATACCCATGAAAGAGATAGTTGTTCCGAGCGCCTGAGCACAGTCAGCATACAACTAGGCTGCACGGAACAGATTGAGCAGCACATGGAGCTCGTGTGAAGCATATCCGAGCCTCCCCGCAAGCTCCTGTTGTCAGCCACACATCTCAAACCAGATCAAAGAGACCCCAGGGTTACTGACCATGAAGGAGGAGATGGACATGTGGAGTGACTCCACCATCATATCCATCACTCCAGAAACGCGTGAAACTGTCTCGATGGTTCGCTGAAGTGGTGTCCTACAGGTGAACTTACTACTCTCCATCAAATCAGGTTGCATTCCATTACATGGGACCGCCTTCCATCCCCCCCATGCCGTATCCTCCCATGCCGTATCCCCCCATGCCGTATCCCCCCATGCCGTATCCCCCCATGCCGTATCCTCCCATGCCGTATCCTCCCGTGCCGTATCCAAACCGAGATCCATACATGCCCATCCCTCCCATGCCGTAACGAGAGCCCATCATTCCTGTCCGCAACTCAGTGAGAAGTACAAAGAGAAGGCGCACAACCATAACCCCCTCCCATGCCGTATCCCGACATACCGCCATACATGCTCCCGTACCCTCCTCCGTATGTCGACCCATACCCTTTCAAAACAGCCTCTCAGTCTCACAGGTCGGCGCATCGATGCGCTTGCCTCCATATCCGCCGTAACTGTTGTACCCACTGCCATACATCCCGTCGCCGTACCCAGTTGTTGTCTGCATGCGGGCTCAAAAAACCTGCAAGTGTCTTGAGACACTTACGTGTTGTACTGAGCCTGTGCTTGGAACGAGGGCTTGAGACTGCTGAGGTCAGAGTCACTACTGCCGGCAGCCCCAGCAGAGGTACAAACTCACATCTGTGTTGTCTGACTCAGACATTCTGTTGCGCGGGACCTTTTCCTGCTGCACAAGCTCCATGAATAAACATCGTAGAGGAGCATGTATGATCCAACTCACCAGCCCTTCCCTTGAGCTCGGCGCGTCAACTTGAGGTGGCTGTGGGAGGCTCGAAGGGAGGAGGCTTGGCCTGGAGGGAAATGAGAGTGAACATTGAGACAGCGGGGGAGGAGGGGAGGAGAGCAACCTCTCGCTGGCTTGTGGCTCTTCTCGTGCGTATGTTCTACGTTTCTGTGCCGCTGCCATCAACCTGTTCACGCCCTCAGCCCCCTGCTGCCCCCGGGCCCTCCCTGCATTGTCTCGCACCTGCCATCTCTTCCCCTGCTTGGGGCAGCAAACGTACAGGGCTTTGGTTCCTTCAATGTTCCTTCTGCCTTCCCTGACTGCGCGGGCCCGGTATAGTACTGGCAAAGTCGGAACACTGAGGCTAAGTTCACAGGCTCAGAGTCAGGCTACTGAGAGTTGAATCCGATGATCATGAGTGCGGCCCGCAGTGGCGCGAGGCTCTGAGGCTCCGACCGTTCAGTAGGCTCCAAGGTTCAGGAGTCACACCGGGTCCACGGCCAGATACCGTACGGAGGCTCCCCGCCGGGTCGCCGCGGGGGCCGGGGCACTCGCGGCGCGGGCGCGGCCGGGCCGCGCCGAGTCATGATCTCAGTGCCCGGCCGGTGGCCTCGGCTTCCGGCATTCGCAGATCCGGACCATCACTGGCGAGTCTTTCATGAGTTTCACTCTATAGATGAGAGTGTGAGAAGTCGATAATTATGCCGGCAACATGCGTTTGAGGGCTGCAGACGAACGCAGGCTAAGAAACATCGCCTTGCCAGGTCGCTCAGTCCGTACCTGTGGCCATCTGACGAGTTACATGATTCAAATAAGCCAGACGAGAAGGAAGCTCTTACGCTGCAAGACTCGTGCCAAAGGACAGGTAAATACTGGCTGTTGACCTGACAGCCGTGAGGGCAAAAGGAGTCAGAAGATAGAAATCAGACGAAAGAAAGAATTCAGAGGAAAGTTCAGGGCATTACAGACAAGAAAGGTATGAGCAAATACTTTGGCTCTGGAGAGCGAGCAGGGGTAAGGCAGACTTACGGGCGAGTGAAGAGAAGGTCGACATGAAGTTTCATCATCAACTCGTAGCCGTGGTTGAACAGCCTGCGATTCTTAAATTCTTCGTACGGGCAATCTCGTAGGCTAGAGAAGGAGGACATGTTGTTTCTGAGATTTGAGCCTATTGCTTCTTTGACCCCAGCTGTAGTTCCATCACTTCAACAAACTGCATTCTTTCATGTATACTACCTTGAATGCGGGTGTAGTGTTGTAGCGCAGAAGAGATCTCCCATACAACTGTCGTGTTGGACCAGCACAAGTCAATTCTTTGCAGGCTCCGACAATCATTGGTGGCGTTCACGATCTTCAGCGACTGCAGCAAGGTTCGCCTGCCTGAAGTCAGATCCATGCAAGCATTCCATTCATCTCCTTCACTTCTTTTGGAAGTACGGATGGCAGGGGTCGTAGCGGTTGTTTCTGACACAGAACTTCATCACACTGAAACTAAACAAGACTGATGGGAAACCTCCTTGTGTACGACAAATTGCCTTTCTTCAGCGCAACCGGAATGCCAAAGTCAACCTTTGCCATAAGTCAAACAAAAACAATCGAAAGACCATGACCGGGCAGATCATCGAGAAGAGCTCACAGTGGCATTAGGATGAAAGTAATGCACATGTTGTGGCAAGCTTGGAATGTGGTTGTTTGCTTCAAGAGGAATAGCAAGCAGGTCGACATCGCATCTCAGTGACGAAAGCATCCACACCAATACCCTCTCCCACTCGTCGTCCCTCTGGGTGTAAGACCCCGTCTCCTTGTTGTAAGCTCGGATTGCATTGAATTGCAATCTATAACATCAGGCAACCACATTGATATGCCGTGTTCTACCTGTGTTGGTTGAAGAAGACCGCAGACAAGAATACCACGATATACTTTCACATTCACAGATTAGAGCAAGCTGCTTCACCAACACGACTGCAGTCCAGTTACCTGGGAGTACCACCATGATCGATGCTCCCAATGCGTATCATACGGTAGCAACAGCCAAATCGCATCCCTGCATACAACCAAGGCCAAGACCCTCGTCATTGATGTCGCTGCACAGCGATGGTCTTGCCGATGGATAGCATTGACGATAGCATCGAAGTTGTAGGTTGTCGCAACTTCTTTCCGTGCTATCTTTACATGCCATCACACAATCACACAATCTGCACAGCCTCTTGGTCCAATCTTGCTCACCTCCGGTGGATCCTTGAAAAACCCTGGAAACCCAACCGCAGGCTCCCAGAGCAAGAGATACCTGAGCAGCTTCAGGCTAACGATGCTGAGAGCATCAATCTACCGCTCGAAGGTTGTATAAGGATCGCCAGCATTCATACCCCAGTCTAAAGATTCTTTTAGGACAACATCGCCATCCATGAAGATGAAGTATTTGTAGAGCAAATTGTTCGCCTGTTCACTAAGCAGGGCTGCCTGCGAAGCGTGCTTGGTGAAACACCCATTATGAACAAGGACAAACAACCTGCAGCAGCTCATTTCTCCCTGTGTTCCACGTAGTTTGTGGCCGGAAAATTATCGCACTCACAGCATCTCGCCGGGGGGGGTTCGGCTCCCCCCAGACAAGCACCTTGACATGAGAGGATTCTCGATCCAACAGAGCCCTGTTGTCACCCCTGAGTCACGAAACGTAGACATGCCATGAAAGCGAAGACAAAAATCTTCACTCACACCCATGGGAGAGCCTCCTGATACGTCTGAACCTGGACCAGGTAAATGAACTGCTTCTTCAGAGGTCGTTGGCCGCCGACGTCTACCAGCGAGAGCAGGCTCGAGAGCAAGATAAGGCTGCTGGATCTCATCAATCCAGGAGAGGAGAAGCAGTTCATCCATCTGAGCGTCTTCTTCCTCCCCTCTTCTCCTCATTCCCCATCTCGCCGCATTCCTCGCCATCGCCCGCCATGGGTCCCAAGACGATCCGATTTTAAACAAGTTAGCTCACTGCTGCAGCCCAAATATCCTGGAGCTAAACTGGTTTTCATCATGTTCTTGCTGACCTAGCAGATACCCCCTATTTCCCCTACAATGAGTACCCACCCATGGTTAGCTGTCATGTTCCGTTCTGACCCCTCCTGGATCCCCAACATCCACGAAAGAATCAGTCATGTACCCCCTCTATCCAGCTGAACGTTCTCTCAAAGTATGGGGTAGTAAGAAACCAATTTCTTGGGGGTAGGGTACTGCTTCTGTCTGGATAGGGCATCAGCAGGAGTTTGCTTTTGATCACCCACCTATATGACTGCAGAATCAACCTTCGACAGGGGGTAGGCTGTCTACTGTAGGGGTAGGTAGGTTACGATGGGCGCCTGAAACACGGCAATGATGGGGAAGGGGCCGAGCGAGGAGGAGGTAAGTTATCGAGAGCTCTGAACCATCCGAAAGACTCCACATGTTTTGGAACCGCACAAGACATCACAACAGTGCTATCGAATGGTATCTACCATTCCCGCGGCTTCAATAAACCCCCATGGGCACACAAGGACCACTTCTGTCAGGTTTGCGGCCACAAGGGGTACGTCCCTAGAACATGATAGGAGATTTCTTGCTCTGATATGATTCAGTGCCGTGATAGTGCCATAGTGCTCTCGGGTAGACCATAGCTTACCTCTGATGGGGGTTGTGGTGTACGCAACACAGGACTCCAGGATGAAAAATTCTGGATAGGCAGATGGCCGAAGGAGCACAATAGCTGATCCTTATTCTTGTTTTTATTCCATAAACCAACTCAAGGCTATTATAATGGATGCTCTATGTACAACTAGATATCACATGCGCATCGGCAGCTGCTGAATTCCGAGTCAGCATACACACCAGGATCGAAATGATTTCTATTCCTGGGCTTGCAAAAGATTAAGTCCCACAGACTAGAGATTTGTCAAAGTTCTCCCAATCTCATGATTCCACATTGAAGCACACTCAAAGCAATTCTGCCACGACAACTCATCTGCCTGGAATGCAGGGTCATTGCATCAGATGGTCACCAAGAGTGTGACGTACCTGACAAGGAGACTCAAACTCGAAGTTGGCGATCTCTGTATTTGAGTTTTTGCTCTCTTCGAACACTGAGATCGGAATCTTGCTGTTCTCATAGTGTGAAGAAAATTCGTAGAGGAAGCGGTGATCCTGAAATAGACAAATCAGCTTCAAAAACTCAGGCCATTGTACCGTACCAGCATGCCCACTGCAAGGTCAACATCGGAAAAGTCGAGGCTGGAGTCGTCAACTTCGAAATTAGGGGACATCTGCTCAATTGAAGCATCGGTATCGGAGTATGCGGATGTTCCAGGCGAAAGTACAATCGAGTCATCATCGGGTACCATCTTGCTGCTGGGTTTGGTGGCATCAAGGTGAGTGCAGTGCCTTGTGAGGTGTTGTTGTTGAGTTCGTGATGATGACTGCTCTCCTTTTTGGCTCAAAGACGTCGAAACTGCTTTTGAATGTCTGATCTTTGCTCTCTTGAATCTTTCTTTTGGGATCGTCAGAATTCCAATGCTTGGTCTATTGCTTGAAGCTGACGGAGATCGAAACAGTACTGTTTTCCCCATATCAGAGCTTGGCTTGTAGACCTTGAAAGAAAGCAACGATTTTCCTTGGGACCAATCTCGATATCAGTAGGGCTGTGATTACAGCCGGATAGCAACTTTCACGCTTACTGCGAGTCCTGTAGATTACCGTGTAATTGACGGAGAAACTCGCTTTGAGAAAGAATTTTCTTGTTCGTAAGGCTGGCCTCACTCACTTCCCTTGGGAGAAGGGGAAACAGAGAAGAGAGAGGAATAGACTCTTTGAAGTATGCGGCTCCTTTAGCTTGATAGGAGTATCGAGTCAATCGGTTGGACGTGAACCCCGTGGGATATAGACCTGCAAATCACGATAGAGCTTGTTGTAATCTAGGGAATGTGTTTCCCAAACAGTCGGAGGCACTGCTAAGCTGGGACACAGGAGATCTCAGTTTGGTTGCTGAGATTTGTTGGCTTGTTTGCTGCGTGCTCGCGTGCACGACGTGTGAAGCGTGGGTGGCAGGGCAAGGGGAACGGAGAGAAGGGGGGGGGGGGGGGAAGGTTGGGGGCAGGGAGCGGAACTAAGGTAGGGTACTTTGTGGTAAAAGGAAGGGGTGGTGATAGGTTAGAGCTTTCGAAACTCACCTGTTGGAGAAGTAGGCTGAGGGGTAGGGTTGAGGTCAGCGACAGATAGGGGGTGAGTAAACCTGATACGATGGAAGACCAAGGGGTGGTAGGTGAAAAGATTACCCCGTGGCCTAATAGCAGGAGGTATCGGATCCCAGGGGTAGGGTAGTGGTGGTCAGGTGAAGATTGTGAAGTCTGCAGAAGGCTTGGTATGAATTTTTTTTGGTGTGAGAAATGCCATGGCCACGGGTCATTTGGTGGTTCTTTGCAGGGGTGGATGGGGTAGTGCTTCTAATTGCTTTGGAGGAAAACAGTTTTAATTTTGTACGAGTTGAATTCACATTGACCTACAAAATAATAAGATATTTATTATTATTACTACCAAGTACCTACAAGTGAGTACCAGCAGTTCACCTCAGAAAGGTCTCCATTTCGATTTCTTTACAACCCCAGAAAAGTCACTCAGGTGCCGGCAGCCCGGGGCCGAAGGTCCGGGCGGATCTGGTGGGCCCGGGTCCTCCGAGCTTCCGAGGACACTGCCACGATTACTGAAATCGAGACTATCCAGGGAAGCGTGAAGATCCGCTCTCACTTCCATCATCACTGTGAGACATCATGGCGCGGCACAAGCGGCCTGCCATCCTCCGTCATCACAGTTCTGTTGTTGATCCTCTACTGACTGGCACGCCGGGCTCGTCGTCCCACTTTCCTCATACAGGCCTTGTGTCCCAAGAGAGCTCCTCTGACTCTGAGCCCCGCTCACAGCAGGAACCCCTACGGACTCCTGACATGCTGGAAGGGCAATCTCGTTCTGCAGCGTCTCCTCCGCAGGATGACTTTGCCTCCTCCGCCGCTGGATCTGGAGGAGGTTCGGGGAACTGGCAAAGACCTCGGAAGCAGGCAAGATTTCGCCGATCCATCTCCCAGAGGACACCCACCGATCAGCCTACGGTCAATCCTACACCCCCACCGCCCCCTCCTCAACCGGCAAATCTTTTCCCAGAAGACCCTGGCGCGCAATCTAGCGCAGCGGCTTACTTTCATAATCTGCGTCCGCAAGACATGCCTTGTGGTACGTCGAATTGGCACAGAGCCCTCCCTCTCTTTGCTCAACACTGAGGGACCACATAAGCTTCCGGCACTCCTGGCTCGTAATCCTTCCATTACAACCATCAAACACCCCAATCGCCAGACGATTGATAAATGGAAGAGTGCGCTACAGTTTACGTTAGACCTGCTACAAGGTTACCCTGACTTGCATTGCGAGGAAGCTAAGATTATCCCGGGAGCTTGTGGCATTGTCTCCCACTGCTCCTGCTGAGAGTGAATCCAGTTCTTGCAATCTCGCGACAAAACCGAGATGTGAGCTACCGTATCCACCATTTCCTCCAAGGGCGTTGGGAGACATTGCTGAAACTAGAAGAGGGTGTTTCCTTTGACCAAGACGGCCCAGCGGTTGGCAGCGGTGGAGATCCGCAGGATGTCACGCAGCAGCCCACGGCGGGACTAACTGGGTCGGGACGAGGCACGAGACCGGCGGGCACCGCAAGGTAGGCGCCAACAACCTAACCGTCAAAATGCAGGTCGCCCACAAGGACCTGACCGTGCGAGAGCGGGCGTGCAGCAGCCAGTGATGGAGAGCGAGCAGTTGGAGAAAAAGAAAATCCTCTCGGCTGTTGAGCATTACCAAAATCGGGATATGAAGAAAGCTCGACAGGCGCTTGTGGGCCATGGCCTCTCCCCAGATCCATTTGAGCAGCTATGGCAGCAAACTCGTGAGAAATTTCCGACGAGACTGGAACCCATTCCTCCAACGCTCCTAGACGCAGTCGGCTCCGGGAGTCCTCAAGGCAAATGCTAAGTGCTCAGCTCGACGATGCCATCGCCGATGAACCGGCCTCATTGCTTGACAAGATTTTAGATCAGCGAGAGGTAGGGAAATTCCTGCGGCGATTCACTGCTTCCTCGGCCCCTGATCAATTTGGTTGGCGACCGTTCCAGCACCTGCGACACATTCTCAGACTGCATGATGATCACAAACAGCGATACATTAACTACCGCCTCATATTGAAGCCGATCGCGCTGGGAATCCCTTCGGGCGCTTTCCTCGAGGAATACACCAGAGGGGGGCGATTCATTCCTGCTGCCAAGGCAGTGGAAAAGAGCGGAATCCGACCTATTGTGATAGGGGACCTGGAGCGAAGGATTGTGTCTAGCATCTTCTGTCGTTTCTACCGAAAATCTTTGGAGAGCCACTTCACCCTCAGTCACTCTCGGGTCCTGCAATTTTGCGTGGGTCTGGAGGAAGGTTGTCTCAAATTCTGCAAGACCATCGAATGCCTGTTAGGACCCCATTCTTTTGCCAACCCATTCACAGACCAGGGCGAAGGTGAGTCTGATAATTTTGATCCCACGGTAATCATCATGATCGACGCAAGAAATGCCTTCAATGAGATCTCTCGCCAACGGCTATTTGACATCCTCCTTGCTCCCGAGCATCGTTGTGAGAACTTTTCCCAAGGAGTCCTTCCGTATGTTCATCAATATTATGGCCAGGCAGGTAAGTTACAGTTTCTGAAACATCAGCGAGAGACTCGGGCTTTTTCGGCCACCACGGGAGTTTCTCAGGGGGACCCCTTGGCGATGGCTCTCTTCAAGTTGCGCACACCACCTTCCCTTCCCTGGTCAAAGTCGCAGAGACCTTTCCCGACTGTGTCTTCCCGGCCTATGCGGATAACATGGCTGTTATTGGAAAGCTCTCAGTTGCCGCACAGGCTACTGCATCGCTGGTTGATACTTTAAAACAAGAGCTAGGATTGGAGATTCAACCCAGGGATTCGCAGATATTCTCCTCGTCCTGGTGTGAACTTCAATCTAGTCAGCAACAAGCCATCCAAGAGCATATTTGCAGTAGGTACCCGGGCTTGCAGCAGTTTGCCTTCCGCGGCCAGGGGATCATCCTGGGAGGTATCCCGATAGGATCTCAGTCCTTCCAGCAAGAGTTTATCACTGCCAAGGTGAATGCCCTCAATGCTGAATTGACCCAGTTGGAACAATTTCCCATTGCGTTGGGTCTCAAGCAGCTCTTGAAAACGACCCACGTTCCCACCCTCCAATATTTCTTGCGTGGAATCTCCCCGGCCTTGACCGCTGCCCAGTGCAAGTGCTTTGACGTCGCGAATCTCCGTCTCCTGGCGAAGGTGTTTCAGTGGCCACAGAACCAGGCACAGGAGGGTTCATCTGTCCTGCAACCTGCCCCTGGCACCCCTCCATCTGACCTTCAGTTCGCCTACTTCAAACGTCAGTTGCCTTATAGTGCTGGAGGAGATGGGTTCACCCCGCAGGAGGGCGTGGCCTACACCGCATTCTGGTCGGCGACTGCCAAGTTTCTCAAATGGGCGGGTGAAATTGCTTCGAATCCGCCAACCGCAGCAAGCGGACGCTGGGGATGTTGTCCCCATGCTTGCTGCCTTCTTGGACACTCACAGGCACTTGATGGAGCAGGGCATCTCGGCGTACACCTCCTTGGCGGAGCTTCCTCAGGCGTGCGACAATGGCTGGATCCCCTCGCCTGAATTATTTGGGACGTCGGGCAGTGCGCTTTTCATCCCCGCCCAGCGGGAGCTCACGGCTCAGTTCCTCTCGGAGTTTCCCCGGTTCCGCAGTATTCGGGCTCACCTTTCAGAGCGCCAGAGATCTTTGTTGGCACACCACTCCAGCTTCTCTACTCCCCTTCGAGTACCAGGCCACCCGGTTGATGAACTTCTGTCTCAGTTTACCCCTCAGCGCACGATTTGGCACTCGACTATGGAAAGTACAAACCTTGGGATCTTTGAGCAGCAGCCCATCAGCTTGGTGGCTGCCGCTGACAAGTTTCTTCATGGATTGCCGGTTGACCTCCCGCCGCACTGCGATCGATGCCATCATCTTCTTCGTCATCCTGGGGGGACCACACACATGGCAACCTGCAGGCACCGCAGCCAGTTATGGACTGATGCGCATGAGAAGTGCAATGCCGTCCTCAGTACCCTCATCAAAGATTCCGGAGTGAGATGCCGCGTCCACGTGCAAGGCGTACCCGGCACCAGGCAGAACGTTTCCCAACATGGCCCTGAAGATCATCATGTAGGGGACTTTGAACTTCCACAACTGATGGCTACTGGCGGCGGATGGCATGGGTTAATCCTGGACTTCAGCATGTCACATGTTTTTGACAATGATGGAATACCGGACCTCGCTCGGAGCAAACTGCAAGCGGCAGCACAGCGGAAGATCCGAGGGCATCGTAATGCATATGCTCAGCACGTCCCGCCAAAGGCCTTTCTTCCCATCATCGCCAGCACTGATGGCCTCTTGCAGGACGATGCGTTGCGCTTTCTGTGGTGGCTGGCGGCGGATCGCTCGGCGAACAAGGAAACGGCAGCGCTGGATGGTCTCTCGGCCTCGCAAGACGTCTCAGGTGATCCGACTTGCAAACGCATTCGGTCCAGGATCTTCCGTCAGCTCAAGGCCTCCCTGTCCTACGCTGCCATCATCGCGGGTGCATCCCGGTATGCGTCTCATTCCTTCGGCGGCGGCCACCGCGACATCGCTGGCATGGCCGCGCGGGGGACTTGTCCTGCGCGCCGTTAAGTGAAGGTATCAGTTAAGTTTGGGGGACAGCAGTCGGCAGGTTTAGGTTTGGTTCTCGCTGTCTTTTCTCTTCTCGCCGTTTGGCCTGTGCGACAGTCACGGTCAGGGTCAAGCCTCCTCGACTCTCCTGATTGTCCTCGTACTGATTTTTAACTTAACTTTGAGTAAAGATGGATCCGTAGAAGAGCGAGCGATGGCAGAGGAGCGAGCAGCGTTGCTCAAAGTCGCGGTGAAGATGGGGAGGGCAGGGAAGAACGACGAGGCAGCTGTTCTTCTTGGAGAGGCACTAGATCTCTCCCAAGACCTTGACGACGAGATCTGTCAGGAAGCTAGAGAAAACCTTCTGGTGATTGTCAACAGGCTGTTTCAGCCCATTGAGTCGTTCGCTTTCTTAGGAAATGAGAGTTACAGGAGGATTCTGGAGGAAAGCATCCTTGCCTTATCGCCACATGTGTTATATGATATCGGGGGGGGGAACTGTGCCTGTGTAGGATCACTTATGGCAGCAAAGGCCGGGGCGAAGAAAGTGTTCGTTTATGAGGCACTCAAGGCTCGGGGGAAAGTCATTCAGAAACTAATCGACAAGAATGGATTCAATGGGAGGATCAAAATCATCAACAGCAGTATCTTGAATCAGAGAAGTCCGGTCGAGCTACAACGTTTGTGTCCTCCAGACACTCTGCTTTTGGACATCACCGGGGCTTTCGGACAAGACTTGTTAAACGGAGAGTTCTTGCAGTCGTTGATCCACATGCGCAAAAATGGATTCTTAACAGGCACGGTTAATGTTTTTCCAAAGTCTCTAAGTGTTTGGGTTGCATTTGTGGAGAGCTTCAGCATAGCAGAGATGGAGGAGGTTAGGCAGGACGTTGAAGGATTTGACCTGAGAGGTTTCAATACATTCTCGAGGAGCACCCGATCCATCAATCTTAAGACCATCCCCCATCGATTTCTTTCCTCCCCTCAAAAAGCTTTCACAATCGACCTCAATGACGTCGCAAGAGGAAACTCTCCTTATCTTGGACATACATTTACAAAGGTGATCGAGCTTGAACATGCTGGCATTGCTCATGGGTTAGTGTACTGGTATGAAGTGGATGGTTATGGCTCTTCATCTCTCAATCTTGGCCCGGCTCAGGAACAGTGGACATGGCAGCTGTTATGGCTCTACGGACTTGGGACGGAATACATCGAGAGTGTCCCAGGAAGCAGGATTGGGGTTTTCTTCACCATAGATGAGGATGGGATGCTGGGTATGTCCTTGAAGACGGATGTGGATTCGATCTTTGTTTCGGGCTATGGGTTTTACTTTCCGTGTCCAAACAGCCCCATGGCGACGGATGCCGTTGAGAAGGAGGACGAGGTGAGTTGTGAGGAGAACAACGACATCGACCCGTTTACTCTCTGCGAAGGGATACCGCTGTACCACTTCTCTATGATCAATGATCTTCACCGTGCTAAAGCATACCACATTGCCATTCAGCAGGCAGTCTCTGCCGTTCGTGAAAAGAAGGAATCAGTTTCTGTTCTCGATGTTGGATGCGGCAGCGGCCTTCTTTCCATGATGGCAGCTCGTGCGGGATCAAAGAGGGTTTACGGCTGTGACAAGGCGCCAGGGATGGCGGATTGTGCAAGGGGGGTAGTGGCTGCAAACTCACTGCAGGGCTCAGTCAAAATTATTCCAAAGCTCAGCACACTCATATCAGTGGGCGACAACGAGGCTAATGATATGTTGGACAAGGCTGATATCTTTGTATCAGAAACATTTGGAGACGATCCTTTTAGCGAAAGCTTCCTTCCTTCTTTACAGCATGCCAGAGAACATTTGCTCAACGACGGTGCAATCGTTGTACCGAGGGGAATCTGCGTTTACGCACGTGCAATCGAAAGCGAGGAGATTCTGAATCTGAATTCGCTGCCATCTACTCAATTTTCTGGCCTCGACATCACAGACTGGAACATCTTCTCTCGAGCCAGATGGAGTTGTCGTCTTCTTGATCATTCCTTCGTTGCGCTGACAGAATCGTTTCAAGCTTTCGAAATGCATTGGGATGATGATGCGCAGCCCATTGAGTTGAAACAATGCGTGCACAGAGATTTGTGTGCAATTAACACTGGCAAGCTGCATGCATTTGTTGTTTGGTACACCCTTGATATGTTTCAAGGCTGCCCGGAGATAAGCACTGATTGCAATTCCTCAGCCATGACAGGACGGCATTGGAGACAGGCTGTTTACTTTATGCATGAACCCAAACATGTTGTAAAAGGAGAACGACTGTCTGTCTCTGTCTCGTTACATCGTGATAGATTATTTTTTAAGAGCTCATGAACGATCAAGCTTTCCTTTCCAAACGTGGTCAATCGATCAGGTGTCTGCAAATATGTTCATTTATAAGTACACGAGAAATATGACGCCTATGATCAAAGCTTTGCTTTAGAGGATAGAAATATGCTACAGCTATTAACATTTTCGAATGCACTCAAATCTAGCTGGATTTTAAGAATCCAGCTTGATATGCATTCCGCTCTTCTCTTTCGCCCTGATCACGTTCTGCAGCAGGAAATTTGCCTTAGCGTCCTTCTCGCCACTCGCCGATCTGTTGACACCTGAATACGTTGGTGCCATTCTCTTCGAAGAGTCGGTCGATACAGAGGGGATATGTTTGTCGAGATAGAAGGATTCGCTGGTGATGGTGATGGAGCGCCTGTTGCTTGCTTCTGTTGTGTTGGCAACCATTCGACAGTAGAATTCAGCGATCAGTGCAGAATTATCTCAATGAAAGATAGCAAGTTGTGTGCGGTAAGGAGATCTTGCAACGTTGGGGAGGGGCGGAGGATTGTACAGTTAACGTCTTATGTTTCCCTTCTCGAGGAACTATGTTGTAGCTGTTGCAAGGGACTCATCTTTTTATAGAGAGGGACGGGAGTGCCGAGTTGTTTTATAAGGGGGTCCGGTTTTCAAGGGGGTAAACAACATAAAAGGGGTACGGGGGTCAGGTCAAGATAGGGGTTCATTGTGGGAAATGTTTGGGTGTACAAGAATTACAGGGGGTAGTGGCATAGAACGCTCTCTTCGTTAGAATGGCATGGAATTCATTGAAGTCACGGACCATGAATTTTGTTCAAATTTGATGGCAGACGATTTGGTGACGGGTGCTTTTGAGTGCTAGGAGGGGGGTACTCTCCAAGTGGTAAAGAGGCCACAAACCCCATCCGATGCGTTTGCGCTGTCACTCGGGTTGCTGACAGAACTCTTGGTGTGGCGCTTTGAATCTCCGGTATCCCTTTTCCAAATTGAAGAGGCCAGGTTGAAAAAAGAGAAAAGAATTCGAACGAGTACGGAGACACAAGCTCTGAAAGCTCGCCGTTTCGAGGCTGAGCAGCAGACGGTCATCAGCGGGTCAAACAAATGGTCAAATAGTTGAAGCCAGGCAAGCTTTACACGCCCCCCGGCCGGTCCCCGGTCAGTCCCCGTGACTGCCAGGTCGGACGGTCCTCTACAGGATGAGGTCACGTTGCCCTGCCAGGGAGTGCCAGGCTGGCAAGCCTGTCACTGCAGCGCCTCGAGTAAGAAAGTTCTCGAACTTCGAAATCAACGCAGAAATCTAAAAATATCCGATGAACGCATTTTGACTCGGACTCGTCACATCATTCAGGATCTCGATCAAGGTCCGACGTGAGGGTTCGCTGATGATTTATTGATAGCTGTTGACCGTATGGTGTTGGGATGGGATGTGCAAACTGTCAGTCGTGGTGTCACTGCAGGGTTGACTAACATAAGGCATCGGAGTATCGAAAGATCGATGCATCGATATCATCATTGATTGCTGATGATGCACAATGATAGCGTGCTTGACTGATTCCTTGAACTGCAGCTTAACGTGACTTGCCGATATCAAGCAGATGTAGACCACAGACCAACATTGGATATGATACACACAACTCGGACTTAAACAAAGATTGTTATCTTCCTCCCCAGTACCCATGCATGTGCAAGAATCTCCCAGCTTGTCTTGGCACACATACTGTTGTATCCTGGGCTCATACCGGACGCCTCTTGGACGTAGCGTAGGGAAATAGGACGACGATGGTGCTGATCTGATGAGTGTTCAGTGTGCTTAATAAATTGTGATCCTAAGATCATCGGAGTTCAAGGTCTTACGCAAGATTGTGTATACAACATATACACGATCAAAATGCATGATACCCTCTTGTCTTCAGCATTGCTGCACGTATGTGTCTCTGAGCAGATTGCGTTGGCAAGAGGAATCATCCTGATTCATCGCTTCCTCGAGCGCATTTATCCTTCGTGCAACCATTGTGACGATGTAACAACAAGGACGAGGTACAAGTTGAAGTGGGCGCTATTCAGTAAAAAGTAATGGCTATTGTGTATCATAGGAGAAGGACCATAGCACAAGATGCAGTAAGCTATCCATGGGACGGGACTTCATTCACTGCTGACCAGAGTCATGTTTCTGCAATCAATAATGTTTCAATATAGATTGCCAGAACAAGCAGAAGTTGTGTTTACTGGATCACAACAAACAGGGCAGGCTACTGCTGCTCGCTAGGACATGAATCTCTTTCCTTGACACGTGCGATTTTGTTTGCGGTATGAGCTTGGTTCGGTGCAGAAGGGATTTGGATTCTTTGAGGCATGTCTGCTGACAAAGCACATTTATTCAATGGTTTTTGCTATCAGACAAAATATTTTACTTGGTCTTACGCTGTATCTAATGTACATTGGACACAAATGAATAATTGTTCTCGTCTCCGAGTTACAGAATGATAGTTTGTTGCTCACTTGCTGTTGATCAAGCTGACCTTCTCCTTTGCCCTCATCACGTTTCTAAGGAGCGGATTTTGAGCACGCGCAAGCGTTGGTTCTTTGACTCTGCCTGAGGTGCTAGTTGGTGGCATTGTGTTGTCTGTGGGGGCTGCTTGGCGATTGCTGAGGTAGAAGGACTCGCTGACGATGGTGATAGAGCGCCTTGCGCTTGGTTGTTCTTTGTATTTGCAACCATTCGTAGAGCAGGATGGGTAAGATGCAGGCTGTGGTAGGTTGAGAGCAGGCAAGACTTGGAGGGAAGAGAAAGGATCGTCGGGTTCGCTAGAAGGTGGAGCGTGGAGAGTAGGGATGGGTTGTTATATAAATTAACAACCAAAAGCTTTGACTACAGTTTGACCTTCATGCTTTTACAGCTCCCTGGCCGTTTAACTCAAGTTCGAGAACTCATACGGTCACTACCGGTTCAATTGAGTCAAAACGAAGGGGTCTGATGAGTAATGTTTTTTTTTTTCATCCAGCCACAGCATGGCAGTGACATGGCTTCGAAGGCGACCCTGTCAGCATGCTGACAGGGCCCATGAGTCTGCCTCAGAGAAAGAAAGCACAACGTTAAGGCATCGACGCAAGTAGGATGTGTTCACGGGTCACCGGGTGAGGGCAACAAGAAAACAGGAAATCGTTCACAGAAAGACACGACAGGTACGGCACGGTGAAGGGCTTTCCAAAGCGCAGATGGCAGGTCACCTGCTGCGGTGCTAAGGTTGCGGTCACACATCTTTCCGTTGTGGAACAGGGCACACGTGGCAAACCGGAGGCGAACCTCCAGGGATGGGAATTTCTGCTTCAAATTCACCTTCAATGTTGCAATGCTCGGGCAATAGGTTTATGTCCTAGCCGACAGCGGTAGTCTATCGTGCTCGTTGTGTTCAAATAAACGAAGCAGTGATTGCTCTGGTGATCTCTTTCATTCTCGAAGGGACAACCATCCCCCCCACCCCCCTCCCCCTCCCCGAAACCAAGATATCACTGTTGCTGTTTACATGAGTTTCCAGACGTCATCATTAGCGATCGGCCTCCTTCATTCTCCCTGCATGCACATCAAGTTGCAAGTGTGCTGAATGTGCCTAGTTCACTTCAAGTATACTAAAAGACTTCTATCTTCTATCCTATCACACTCGTCCTTATCTCGTTTGTTGCATCGTCACACTCTATATCGTGTACACAACATCCGTACAGTTTATCATACGTATCAGCCTGTCCTAGCACAGTGAGCTGTAATACGAATCAGTTTACCTGGTCTCTCACCGTACCGTACCTCAAGTACCGATGATAGGTCTCAAACAAGCCATTGTTCACATCTCCGAGTTACAGATTGACAGCTTCTCACTTGTTGGATTGAACACAACTAACCTTCTGCTTTGCCCTCATAGAGGTGTTCGTCGATGGCGTTTCTTTGTTTGTTGGGACTGCTTGGCGCTTGTCGAGGTCGCAAAACAACTTGCCACATGTTACCACTGATTTACATGTCAAGGTGTGGCTGGACCGTCCAGCCTGTCGGACAGGTTTACTCGCTAGCGACGGTCGACGCCGCCGGGAGAAGTCAAGTCAAGACTCTGCCAAGGCCGCACTGCCGCAAGGAAGAACTTAAAGAAACGAAAGAGGCTTTTCACTGGGACAACTCGGAGAATCTTCGTTTGACCGGCCGGGCAGTCTTTGACTACTGACTGAGTTTGACTTTCATGTTTACTACACACTATGATAGGCTATAATAAAGCGCCGCAGGACTGAGGCCCGGAACAGGCTCGGGCCGGACGGACTCTCGTGACCGAGTCCGGACACGGTCGGCGACCTTCAAAGGCTTGACTCAATAAAATTCACTATGCCTCCTCAAATATATTATCAGAAAGCTTAATTTAAATCAAATAAATTCAGTTTCGTGCCCCTTTTTCAAAACTACAGTGGCGATGTTTGGGGGAGTAAAGTTTGGAACTCTAGGGGAATGATCCAGAGATAGCATAGTGGGTCATTTTGAAGCGAAAATTGGGGGTAGGGGTAGTTCAAGTTTTCAATTGTTTGACTAGAACCCTGTGTAGTCAATTTTCGAACCATGTAATTTAGATGTTAATCTTGAAGTTAGTCCTAGGACAAGGTCCTATCAAGATATGAAGAAATTCATATACCTAGGCCCAAAAATGCTTGGATTGCCAAAATATTTCCATTGATAGTCCCCAATCCCGCCATGGCGAAAAATGTATTACTAGGGACGGCAAGAGACGAGAAGGGGAAGATGGAACATGGTCAGAGAAGACAAGGAGATGGCGGAATCTCGTGCTTTAAAGCGCTTTTTGGGATGCAGATGTTGTGGGTGGAGTGAGAGAAGGCAAATCAGCAAACGGGGGTAACAATTTTTCTGTTTGGTTGCAACATCCCCGAAGGAATTAGCAGAGCGGTGTTATGGAGGAAAACTAAAGAAAGGGAAAGCTTGTTCACTCTTACCGGATCCTGTTTCTGAGTCTTCAGTCCATCGATACTCCATTCCCCTTTGGACTCTAAGTCCTGCTGCCATATCCTTTCCAAACTTGAACCATCATGGAAAAAGGGAGGGTTGGTAGTGCCACCAACGATGATGCGTTGGAGAAGGCTGGAGATCTTTCAGTCAATGGTATCAAGACTTTTCTATTGTTGTTCTTGTTTGTTCTGAAATTTTTCTGTGCTGTTCCAAAGGCTCTGAAAGCATGCATCAAAAGCTCGTGGATGCAGGTTTGACTGAACGCATGCGAATGATTTCGACAATGTGATGTGCGTGTTTCTGTTTCCTTACAGATGAGAGCAAGAGCTGGAAGGCAAGGCTTTCTGGGTTGTTTCCCTCCTTCACAAGCAAGCCTAAAACACACAAGGCCAACTCCTCTGCAGCGTCTGAGTCGTCGTCGGGCACGAAGAAGAGCGAATATTCGAGGAGAGTGCAGGAGCTGCGCGAGCTTGTAAGACAACAGAAGCTAGAAGTGAAACCGTTGTGGAATAGAGACGAAGATGATCTCGACTTCCAGGTCTTGACGACTCGTCCAGGGTCTGCTGCATTGAACGGATTGTTGCTGACCCGATCAACAGGAGGCAATTTGGTGCTCTGAAGATTATGAGTATGAGGAATCTCACGAATCGGTACGTGTAGTGCTATCTTGTCTCTTTGAAGGCTTCGGTGTAATCTTCTTCTGATCCGGATCCTCAGGGTGGAGGTGAAAAGCACGCAGCTTCATCGACATCGCATGCGGATGATGATGAACCGAGGCAAGCGCCGACAGCGAACTTCATCTCCATGTATGGAGTTCACGTTAACAGATGGTGGGTTGAGACAAGTCGGATCATGCTAGCGATTACGTTCATCTTGGTCGGCCTCCTTTCCTTCCTCTCGCTACAACTTGTCATTCAGAAGCAATATGGGGAACATGTGCTTGCATGGGCGATAGGAGCTGTCTTTGTGGCCGTCTCTGTTCCGATCTCTCTTCATGACATTCACATGCACATCTTGCATTACGTTTCTCCTTTACAAAGACATTACATCCGCATCTTATGGATGGTGCCTATCTACTCAGTAAGTTGGATGTGTTCGGGAAGGCAACTTTTCCGCAGTGACTAATGCCACATAGATTGAGTCCTGGCTCGCATTGAGATTCAACGACCACAAACTCATCATGGAGACTCTTCGAGAAGCTTACGAGGTCTGTCATCTTCCTTCTCTCGTCTCGCGTTTCTGAATCTTACCCTCCCCTTTCCTGCAAGGCTTATGTCGTCTACTCCTTTTTCCGCTTGTTGCTTGAATTCATGGGACCACCCGATATTGCCCTGGCAAAAGTACGGAAATTCGTAGATGTTGATGATAGGGATTAATCTGTGTACGAAAGATGGCCAAGCTAGCATCGGAGAAAGGAACCAACAAAGCCAAACACATCGCACCGTGCTGTTGTTTGAAGTAACCCCGATGAACGTCGTGAGAAGTGCACTAATATGAGAGCTTCTGCAGACAATGGACACTGGACACTCAATTTCTTCGTCGGACATCGATTGGTGTTTGGCAGGTTTCGATCATCTCCTTAACTTTACTTCATCCTAATATTTTTGCAGTATGTGTTCATCAGGACCCTTGTCGCTGTCATGGTCATAATCTTTCAACAATACGACATGTGCGGCTCTCAAATGCTTTCTGTCCCCTTTCTTGTCTAAAGATGGCTTGGCATCATTCTCTGTTCCATCGCTTCTTCAATCCTGCCCCTCGTCCTTCTCATTGTTTTCTAGGTATGGAGAAGGACATTTCTCGGTGGACAAAGCCTATGTCTGGACGCTGATCATCATCAACTGCTCTCAGTGCTGGGCACTTTATTGCCTAGTTGTCTTCTACATCGAAGTGAGAATTTTCTCCCTCTCCCCTCCCTTCCTCCCTCTTCTTGCTTGCATGCCACTAAAGCACAGCGGAGTCTGTGTCTTTGGTCTTGTCCATGGTTTTGAAGTTACTGATTCTGTTTTCCTCCCGACACTGAACTCCCTCTCCTTGAGCTGCCTTTTGTGTGCACATCTCACAAATGCAATTTCCTGCAGCTCAAAAAGGAGCTCATGTCTCTCAATCCTCTCGGAAAGTTCCTGGTTGTCAAGGTCCGCAGAACTTTCCCTTGAGTCCAGGAGAGTAAACTCTTTCTCAGGCTGTCGTCTTCTTCTCTTGGTGGCAGCAAATCATCGTCACCTTCCTTGTCGAGGTTGACATGATCCCACCAGTCTTGGAATACACGTACGTCTTCTATGCCTCAAGTTGCTGCCGCTCGTAACCTTCCTGCTCAGGTCCGAAGACGTTGCGAAAGGACTCCAGAACCTTCTCGTTGTGATCGAGATGTTCGTGTACGCCATCTGCCTGCATGCTGTAAGTCCCTGCCTTGAGTTGCCTTCCTCGTGCTGTCTTGACCTGAGCCCTGTTCCTTTCATCGCAGTTCTTCCCATACACCGATTTTCGTGCAGGTCTGCGTTGATGATGCTTCGCTCTCGCCCTCATCTCCTCCCTCACAGGTGGACCTCTCTCAAAGTACCTCGATCAGTCGCACGCCCTGCTCAAAGGGCCAAGGTAAACAGAGCAAGGAGAACAATGCTCGGATTGATCCATACTCTACAGGGCAGCGATCGTCGACATGCTCCCGACCGACATCATGCAAGAGGGCAAACAGGTTGCTCGCTCCTGTTGTACAGCCTTTCACGAGGATTGATGATGGAGTTTTGACAGTACCTTGCCAAGACGAAGAAGACGATTGTCCGCAAGGTCTTGAAGCAGGAGAAGAGCGTACAGGCTCATGCAGCGAGTAAGAGCACCATGGTGATTCTTGTGCTGCTGTGACGCATCACTCCTTGCAGAGGCAAATCGAACGCAGAACATTGAGATCCACGACTCGACAAGCACCACAACCATCATCACCATCGAGTCGCAGCCCTCGAGCGAGAGCGTGGACCATGTCAAGGAAACGACCGATGAAGGGGAGCACAAGCCAGGTCAGTAGCAAGAGGAGGAGGAGGAGGAGGAGGAGGAGGAGGAGGAGGAGGAGGTCTACTGCTAACGTGTGTCTGCAGGTCACGCTCGACCGACCCTCCAGCAGCTGCGGGCTGAACTACTTGGCAAGCCTCCTAAGTGACACTGGATGGGAAGGATGTAATTTGAGCCAAAGGCAGTCTTTTGTGCATATGTAATAAACGATGAATTGCGATCATCAGCGATTTGACCTCCCTGTGTTCTGTTCGAGTTTCAACACAGGACATCAACGATTGTGCCGATCTTTGAGCTGTTATGTTGCAAGGCATGCATCTAGTGCAAGAGCGACATGAGGATCTGTCAAAGCTACCAGCTCTACAAACAATGCTGATATCCTTGGACAGTAGAAAACTTGCCAGACAAGAGCAACAAGACATCCTTTGTAATGATCAAGTTAGACATAATATGTTTGCGGAATTGATTTAGTTTATACAGAATCGATATGATGAGACAAGAAGGATTCGATTTCCACCCCAGTAAGAAACTCTCCAGTCTCATCTAGTGTACATGTGATTTGCTCTATCATATGGCGGTCTCGATATAATCGAACGCGTCTCGGAACCAGTCGCTCTCAAGCACAACTTTCATGTGAACCATCGAGTTGTTCAATAGCGAGTGCTCCGCCGAAACTTCGGGTCGCTTGAGGATACGGCTGTTTTCCACGAGCATGTTTTCGTCACTGAGAGCTCCAACACATCTCGCTGCCTTCTCCTGTATGTACTCGGTCTTTTGCTGTCGCTTTGACCTCGGGTTAACTTCGATGTTCTCCCTTGCGTAAGGCCACTTGTGAATCCCTGCCTGACGACAGTACTTCTTGATGGTAGTCAACGAGACGCCCTGTAACAGAGTGTAAGTTTCCATTCACTTCGATCTCATCAGAACACTCACCAAATGCTTTGCCGCTTCCTTCTGACGGAACTGAAACAGTCCCTTGAGCTTGTGATACCTAGATACTCTATCGTTCTCCATTTCTAATAGCAAAGCTTGTTCTTCGTTTTGTCTAGTTAACTTTCTTTGTTGTTTTGTACTTCTGGTTGTTGTCCTAGCTGTTGCTTCTCCTTCTTCTTCTTGCTGTTGCTGTTCGGAGATGTCTTTGCTGAACTCTGATGTGGTCGTTGCTCTTCTTCTCTTCTCCTCGACTGCTTGTCCCTTGGTCTTGCTCCCTTGCGCTTAGTGCTTCCTGTAATGCCACAGGATATTTCCTCCCACCACTCTTTCCCCCCATCCCACCCCACCCCTTCAATACCACCTCCTCCCATATTCCACCCCATGTCTGTTGCCTTTCTAGCTTCGCTTACTTGTACCCCCTTTCGTCGCACAGGACCCTTCAAATCAGTATGAAAGAACCGGTACTTTTAGACCCATGTATCACCTTCCTAAGCAGCGGAACGGCCACATTGGAAACTTCTACGAAAAGGGGGGTAGGGGTGATTAAAGTCATCTACCCCCACCCCCCCATTTTCACCCCCACCCCGAAGTTTTCCGGGGCGCAACGTACCCAACATAGTGTCGACAAGCTAGATTCAGCATTGGTAGGGTTCGCCAGAACAAGGGGTGGGTGTAAATGATATGAGTCATTTTTAGGGGTATTCGACTATCAAAAGATAGGTAGGGGTGCAAAGGAAATGGGGTATAAATGTAAAGGGTAGGGTTACGGGGTTGCCTATAGACATGACTGGGGCTGACCACTTAACTCTAAAAACTGATTTATTAAAGACGGAGTCAGGGAGGTACAGGTAGAGAGAGAGGGGGTGGGGGGGTGACTCTTGCTTACTACAATGTAGAAGTACCCCTTGAAAGAACTGTTGGCATATGGGTACTTCAAGATGATTTGCTAAGACGTCCAGAGTCCAGGGGTGGGGGTACGCACGCATCGCTAGGTGCCATCACCCTTACCCCCCGCCCATGGCTGAAGATAAGCTATGAACACACCGGTACATTGTCAAGAACGCTGTATTACCGGTATATTTCATGATCAATGAGGGGGTGGTTTGCATCTTTACACGTTTCGCGGTCACCTGACCGCGTCATGTACTCTCACAGACCCCACCCGTCGACATAAATATCCCTACCCCCTTTCTGTAGCCATAAGTACCCTGACCCATCATTTTCCCTGTTAAAGTACCCCATTTCCCAATACTTTGGATAACCCCACCCAGTAGTCTAGTCTTTAGTACCAGAGTGCACTTCAACTCCAGCCGGCTTCCCCTATTTTCAAAGGGCAACCCCCTTCACTGTCGCACAGGCCAAACGGCGAGAAGAGAAAAGACAGCGAGAACCAAACCTAATCCTGCCGACTGCTGTCCCCCAAACTTAACTGATACCTTCACTTAACGGCGCGCAGGACAAGTCCCCGCGCGGCCATGCCAGCGATGTCGCGGTGGCCGCCGCCGAAGGAATGAGACGCATACCGGGATGCACCCGCGATGATGGCAGCGTAGGACAGGGAGGCCTTGAGCTGACGGAAGATCCTGGACCGAATGCGTTTGCAAGTCGGATCACCTGAGACGTCTTGCGAGGCCGAGAGACCATCCAGCGCTGCCGTTTCCTTGTTCGCCGAGCGATCCGCCAGCCACCACAGAAAGCGCAACGCATCGTCCTGCAAGAGGCCATCAGTGCTGGCGATGATGGGAAGAAAGGCCTTTGGCGGGACGTGCTGAGCATATGCATTACGATGCCCTCGGATCTTCCGCTGTGCTGCCGCTTGCAGTTTGCTCCGAGCGAGGTCCGGTATTCCATCATTGTCAAACACATGTGACATGCTGAAGTCCAGGATTAACCCATGCCATCCGCCGCCAGTAGCCATCAGTTGTGGAAGTTCAAAGTCCCCTACATGATGATCTTCCGGGCCATGTTGGGAAACGTTCTGCCTGGTGCCGGGTACGCCTTGCACGTGGACGCGGCATCTCACTCCGGAATCTTTGATGAGGGTACTGAGGACGGCATTGCACTTCTCATGCGCATCAGTCCATAACTGGCTGCGGTGCCTGCAGGTTGCCATGTGTGTGGTCCCCCCAGGATGACGGAGAAGATGATGGCATCGATCGCAGTGCGGCGGGAGGTCAACCGGCAATCCATGAAGAAACTTGTCAGCGGCAGCCACCAAGCTGATGGGCTGCTGCTCAAAGATCCCAAGGTTTGTACTTTCCATAGTCGAGTGCCAAATCGTGCGCTGAGGGGTAAACTGAGACAGAAGTTCATCAACCGGGTGGCCTGGTACTCGAAGGGGAGTAGAGAAGCTGGAGTGGTGTGCCAACAAAGATCTCTGGCGCTCAGAAAGGTGAGCCCGAATACTGCGGAACCGAGGAAACTCCGAGAGGAACTGAGCCGTGAGCTCCCGCTGGGCGGGGATGAAAAGCACACTGCCCGACGTCCCAAATAATTCAGGCGAGGGGATCCAGCCATTGTCGCACGCCTGAGGAAGCTCCGCCAAGGAGGTGTACGCCGAGAAATTTCAAAAAGTGATTCGGTACGAGCTGTACTATCCGAAAGAACGAATTTCAATTTGTTTCAAAGTAGAATGTTGTTCGGCCGCGTATGGGCTCTCATACACAATCATAGTCTAAAGTGGCGCGCCTCTGTGGTCTCTTTGTACTTTCTACTTCTGCATCTTCCTGTAGCAACAAAACTAACTCTTTACTTCCAACACACAAAACGCCGTCACGTCCTACATGTCCTTCCACTGTTTGCCTTTCTTCCTGCAGTACTGCCGCGGTACCGTACGGTAGGCGCGCAAGGCCGACTTGGTTGGAGAGGGGCCTAGACCCCCACGGCGAGGGACAAGGAGACCCAACCGTCCCAGTTATCACCTTGAATATCCGGACGAATTCGTTTGGTTTTTTGGGGGAAAATCAGCTTCCAGGGTCTCTCCCGCATTTACCGACACGACGTCGAAATAGTCTACATCCTTCTCGAAAAGCTTTGAAACCTCACCGAAAAATCTGATCTCCAATTCGCCTGCATTCGACGGTAGATACACATGCTTTCCCGATGACCCGTGTATCACTTCAGAGAGCTGCCCATACAACATCGTTTTTGAATCAAACGTGGGTATCACAAGGTCCTGTGGTACCCCGATCGTTTCCCACACTTTCCGTCGAAACCTTGCGTGCTCCTCATCCTTCAAGAGCCGATTTACGGCAGTCATAGAAATATCTCCTTTCAGCATCGCATTGAGATCCTTCTTCGACAACATAGATTGAATTTCCTGAACAGCTTCTCAAGGATATACCTGCGTCATCAATATCATTCCGCATATTTCAATCAAGCCTGATGCACACCTTTGGGTGAGGAATGACAGTTGACACTTGTAGTAATTAGCAAGCTGCTGCAGCTGCGTCTCCATGTCCTTCTTCTGCAGCTGCGTCTCCATGTCCTTCTTCTGCAGCTGCAGCTCCTTCTCCATGTCCTTCTTCTGCTGCTCCTTCTCCATGTCCTTCTTCTGCAGCTCCTTCTCCATGTCCTTCTTCTGCAGCTGCAGCTCCGTCTCCATGTCCTTCTTCTGCAGCTCCAATGCAATAACATACACATTCGAGATCGCACACCTCAGTGACATATGCTTTCCCAGAGCTTATGGCTGAGATCCGTACCCGCCCGCGAGCGGCTGAGAAGATTGGCAGTATTCTGCGTGAGGGCCTCGGACCTAAGCCCATCCTAGTAGCTGACAAGGCAGACAAGCGGGACCGCGATGCTAGTAAGTTGAGGTCCCTGACGGGAACCAGGTTTGACTGCAACCAGGCATGAGACGATTCCAATGCCGGCGGGATCCCGAAGCCATGACAAGGGGCAACCAGAGCTGCAAACCAAGAGAAGGCCAGGCCTAGAACCAGATATCTTGTAGGATTCATTTCATTCGTCGCCATGTGTGCATCAAGCATCTCTAAATCCTTCTAAAAAAAAACTATCCCGTCCTCAGGAGAAGATAAAAGTCTGTACCCTCATCCTGTATAATACACCACCCACCCCTTTAACAGTCATGGGCGGGAGGAATACGACCGTACAAAGTCACAGACAATCAGGGGGGTACCAGGGGGCCAATAGGGGAGGAGGGGGCCAAGGACTAGATCCAGAAGCCGCCAGGAGGGGGTGGGTGGTCGATTTTCCTTTGGATACTTCTAGGGTTCTTGGGGTACAATTTGGGCTCGGACAGGGGGGTCGTCTAAGGAGTACCGGGCCGGGATCCTGCCGCCCCGAAGTCGTGTCGGCCCGAATATCCGATCCGAGCGGCCGGCGGGCCGGGCCAGTGAGGTGACCGTACCGAGACCGGGGGGTCACTGCTGACTCAGTGAGCGGTGGGCCCGGCCCTAAGTTCTTTACCGTCTGATTCCAAGCGCCTGAGTCACATGATCATGTGATGATCGTCGGATGTCATTCACTCAAGTAGTGGTACGTCATTCAGTACGGGAGTGACGCCGGGCGAGTCACCCGAAGCACTTGTCCACGCCATGGTCGAGGTTGAGCTTGAAGCCCAACTTAGCCTCGATGGTCGCAGCCACACTCGCCTCAAGGATGTCCTCGAACCCCCCGACCTGCTCGAGATCAGCCGTTAGGAGAAGCTAGAACAGCAGGGAGCGCGAGAGAGCGAGAGAGCGAGAGCGAGGGCAGGCCTCACAATCAGCCTGCGACGCAGGGGAGGAGCCGGAGCAGGGATGCGGGATGGGAGACACATCAGATCACCTTGCGACCGAAGAGAACCTCATTGGCCTTTCGCCAGAGCTGAGTGGTGTAGTATACAACAGAGATGAGAAGAAGCTGCGACTTGAAGAAGAGCAGGTTGAGGTCGATGATACGTCCTGCAACCACCGAGGAGTGAGTATGGAGAGGGGGCAAGGGGGGGGGGGGGATTGGCAGGAGGAGCAGGAGGAGCAGGAGGACAAGATGGTGGCAAGCTTTAGTGAGCTCATACGCAGAAGTCAGGAGCCGGGGAAGGGGCAGGCGAGGAAGAAGCAGGAGCAGGAGCAGGAGCAGGAGCAGGAGCAGGAGCAGGAGCAGGAGCAGGAGCAGGAGCAGGAGCAGGAGTGCACGGGGAGGAGGGGTCACCAAAGGATCTGTTCAAGAAGACAGCCCTGCTCTTCCCCATCGCTGCAGCCGCGAGGTTGTCTGACCGCAGAATCTCCTGGGCCGGCGGCTGATGGGCGATCCTTTCGAGGTACCACTTGTAGCTGCGAACAAGAATGAGGGAGGAGGAGAGAGGAGGAGAAAACAAATGATGACAGGGATGAAAAGGGGAACAGGGAAGGTATCAGGGGAATTGGGGAAGCTTCGAGATGAGGAGGTGGGCAGGTAGGCATGAAAGGAGAGGAGGGAGGATAAGGCACAAGGAGAAACGATAGGGAGCAGGACGAGAGGAAGAGGAACGAAAGAAGGGAAGAAAGAGAAGCAGGAGCAGGATAAGGAGCAGGATGAGAAGGGTGGGAGGGAGCAGGATGAGAAGGGTGGGAGGGAGCAGGATGAGAAGGGTGGGAGGGAGCAGGATAAGGAGCAGAATGCTCACAGTTCGGCATCGAGAGGATTTTCAAGGTCTACAGAAATTCCCTCAGCCGCGAAATGAGCCATCATGTTGATTCGGTTGACAGAGCTTCCCATTCCTGCATGAACGTGTCAAGACCATCAGGAGTGAAGAATTGTTTGAGAAAGCTGCATCATTTCAAATCAAATCTGTTATCATCGGCACCATGAGAACTGTTCTCATTATCATCATGATTGCCTCCGATTCATCATCTTCCCAGGCTCGACTCCAAAAAATCTCATCACCTTTGTTGTTCGAGCGAACTATGTTCAGATTTCTTCCTAAGAGAATGAGCTCGCGAGGAACCTGGTCACATGGATCACAAACTGTCCAAGTTGATCTTTACCACATGTCATCACTTGACCTGCTGAGAATCTCCAAGAAGCCTCTTCACTCGCTCGTATGCTTCCACTTGCAACTTGACGATGTCTTCCATCGTCGTGGCGTTGAGATGAACCTGCAACGATAGTTGAGCGTGAGCTTCAAACTTTATGGGCGAGCAGTCAGTCTCCTTTCTCTCACCGAGTGTTTCTCCGGGTTGTAAGGTTTGAGAAGCTGCAGGCTAGCAAAGAAGTTGCTGTCCTGTCGGTCAAAGTCAGATCATCATCAACACTGTACTACACCATCAAGCAAGATAAGACTTGGCTTGTCGAACCTTGATCCCCCAACTTTTGCAGATCGAGTCGACAGTTGCAGTATCTAGCAAGACCATGGCCTGTTTACCTCAGCTATGAGCAGGACAAACATAACAGGTTCAAGAGCGAAATTCGGCATGCGAGTTTCAGGCGTGATTTCATGTGCAGGTTCATATGAGAGGTGTAACATGTAAGACAAGATATGAGGTACGATGTGTGTTCAGGTGTAACGTCTACCTTCCAGAGCTCACAGTACTGCTTGCGAAACTTCTCCGATTCACTAAGATAAGCAGTGAACAGACTTGAAGCGTCGTTGCCACCTCTCTTCTCTCACCTTAGGTACGATCCATGATCAAGGATGACAAGCTGACAATCAAATTAGCAGGAGCAGGAGCAGGAGCAGGAGCAGGAGCAGGAGCAGGAGCAGGAGCAGGAGCAGGAGCAGGAGCAGGAGCAGGTCTCAACCTGAGTCTCTCGACTGTTGGGCCTTCTTCTGACGAGCATGTTGCCCGGGTGTGGATCCGCATGCACAAAACCTGAAAGACATCAGAGAAGACAAGAGGCAGGAGCTTGAGAGGGAAGAGGAAGAGGAAGAGGAGAAAGAAAGAGAAAGCAAGACACCTGCAGAAAGCATGCAATAGGCGAGAAGGAATGAGTCGAGAGAGTGAGTGATGAAAGAGTAGAGGGAGAGGGGCAAAGTATGTGCGGGGGAGGACGAGAGAGACAAAGAAAGCAAAGAATTCTTCATCACCGGAGAGGAAGATTTGACGGGAAAAGGCTTCAACCATCAGATGAGCTACAGCTGCGACATCGAACCCATTCTCTCTGTAGGTTCATGTCAGTGCGAACCCTGACTGCCTCCCCTCCCTCCTTTCTCTTCTCTCCTTGCTATCATTTCTCCCACTCCTCTCCCTCCTCTCCCTCCTCTCCCTCCTATCATTCCTCTCCCTTATCTCCCTCCTCTGCAACCCCCCCCCTCTCCCTCACCTCAACGTGCTGAGCTTCGAGATCTTGATTCCATCAATCCATTCCATGGTGAGCACCCTTCTCGACGTGTATTCCCACAACACAGAAGGGATGTAGAACCGTCTGCAAACAAGTCTTACCCACCACAGACCTTCTTTCCATCACACGGACTTACTTGTCTTCCTCGAAGAAATCCCTTGCAAGCTTCGAGTTCCTCGCCTCGATGTGGAAGTCAACTTCCTGCCTCACCGCCTGCCACGTCATCAGACCTCGTCCTGTCCCATTCTTCTTCTCTCTGCCCTCTGCCCTCTGCCCTCTGCCCTCTGCCCTCTTCTCCTCTCTCCTCTTTCCACTCCTCCCTCTTTCTCCCTCTCTCCTCTCTCCTCTCCTCTCCTCTCCTCTCCTCTCCTCCGCCACTTTCATCACCTGGCACACGGGCTCAACTGTCCAGTACATGGGCAGGTCAAATATTTTCTCGAAGCAGAACACAAGGAGATGGAAACATGCCAGGTCCCACGGCAGTTGCACAGCAATCTCCGGCTTCTGGATCTTCACTGCTACCGGCGTCCCGTCCGACAGCAGAGCCCGGTGAACCTGAGCGATCGATGCGGAGGCGATCGGCTCCTTGTCAAACTCCAGGAACACTTCCTGAGGCTTCTTGCCGTTGAACTCCTTCCTGAAGATCCCCTCCACAACCTCGTAGCTCACGCTCGGTGCCTGGTCGTGCAGCTCCGAGAAGTACTTGAGGTAGGGAGGAGGGAGGATGTGATTCATGGTAGCGATCTGCTGCCCTAGCTTGATGTAGAGCCCTGCGTTCTTGCAGCACACGTCGTACCATCTCTTGGCCACTCGCTCGTGCAGAGCCTCCAGCTCTTCAGCCGTCCTCTGACGCGAGAACAGGAACTTGTAGTCAACTAGTGTCTCAACTGCTGCCCAGATGCTTCGAACGTTCCTGTTGAACCGAGCATGCTTAAAGTGCGTGTCGTACTGGTGCCAAACAATCGCTGCTGTGCATGCCCTTCCTGTCCAGCTCCGCACCATCCATGAGCCGACATGTTTTGCTGCTCTGAAAGAAGACATGTCTTGATCTGGGATATGGGAGAACTTGTATGGAAGGACTAACGCGCTCTCTCAGGTCTGGCAATGGACTTATTCTCCCAGAGCCATGGCAAGCGGCGGTTTCCTGCATGCAAGGAAACGAAGATGTCACAAAGAAGGTACGAATAAAAGAAACTCGCTGCTCAAAGATCAATCATAATAGACAGCTCCTCTTCCTCTTCGTTCCCTAATGAAACATCCCGCATCGTTCTGGTGTAATCAAGGCTAGACTGTTTATCTCCTCCTGCCCTCCTCATCCCCCTGCTTGCCTCTACTCTCTGTCTCTGTCTCTCTGAGTCTGAGTTTCTGTCTCTGTCTGTCTGTCTGTCTGTCTGTCTGTCTGTCTGTCTCTGTCTCTGTTTCTTCCCCTCCCTCTCTCCCTCTCTCCCTCTCCTTCCCTCCTCCCTTCCCGTCTTCCCCTCTCCTTCCCCCCTGCTCTTCTTTGTCCTTCTATGTTGGCACACTCCATGTCCGTTACAATATCTGACATTGGTTGACTTGTAACGGTTACAGAGCTCACATAACGTTCTGTAACCGACCGGTCGGATAAAAGGCTTCTGGCCCACAAACCCGACTAGTGCGATTTTACAAGAAGCGAAAGAGTATCCCTTGATGGGGTGGGGTCACAAGGGTAGGTAGGGTACTGGAGATGAGAGGGTACGTGGGGTACTCGCCATGACTGCTTTCGTTGAGGGTTGTGCTGTCGACAAAAGGATGTACACCTGGTGGGTAGTAGGGAAAATAGGGGTGGGAGGAACAAATATGTGAAATTGGGGGGTGGGGTAGGAAAGTTGAGGGGTCGTAGGGTACGAAATCCTGAGAAGATGGCTGGGGAAGCAAAATTGATGCAGATGGTGGCGACGAGGATGGGAGGGGCGGGCGGGCGAGGTTTCATGCTGAAGACTGCAAGGCGCCTTGATTACCTCCATGCAGCACGCCGAGCAAACATGTCGGAGAACGCGAGGAGGATCAGCTCTGTGCCTCCTGCTTCCCGGGCACAACTCAAGTCGTACCCAACAAGGAGTTTGTCATCAGCGGCTTCAGGGAACGAGGGCAAGAGCATGAAAGTGGCAGTTGTAGGATGTGGACCAGCAGGATTCTACACTGCACGGGACATCATGAAGGGGTTGGAGAACGTCGAGGTCGACTTCATTGAGATGCTCCCAACGCCATACGGTGAGAAATTCTTGAAAGATGCCAACCTGCGCTCTTTTGAGCGGCAGCAAGCTTCAATCTTTTGGAATGTTCTTCTTGTACGTTCTGATATTGATCGCGCAGGCCTCGTGCGCTATGGAGTGGCTCCCGATCATGCCGACACAAAGAATGTCACCGCTGAATTCGATCGCGTATTGCAAGATCCACGATGTCAATTCATGGGACACGTCTGTGTCGGCAAGGACGTCAGCCTTGCCGATCTACGAGCCATGTATCATGCAGTCGTGCTGTCCTATGGTGCGGCAGCTGATCGGGACCTGGGGATCGAGGGGGAGACCATGGAGGGATCGCTCTCCGCCCGGTCGTTCGTCAACTGGTGAGATTTGTTGCCGTTGGTGCAGTCTGAGCACTTGTGTGTGATGGGAGATTGTGTTGGTCTTGTGTGTGGTGATGAGTATTAGTGTCTTTGAAGCTCTTCTTTGTTCCTGTTGCAAGGTTTGCTGAGATGCTTTTCTTGTTGCAGGTACAACGGGCACCCATTCTACACGGACTTGATCTCTAGCCTCGAGTCCATCTCCAGCGTCTCGATCATCGGGAATGGCAACGTAGCTATCGATATCGGCAGGATCCTCCTCAAACCTGTTCCGGAGCTTGCCAAGACAGACATCGCAGATCATGCAATTGAAGTCCTCAGCAAGGTAACGGAGAACATCCCCGTGGAACCGCATTGACGTTGATGAATTCCTTTTGTTGTGGATCGGGTTCTCACTGGGTGAACAGAGCAAGGTAGAGGACGTGCACATCATAGGAAGGAGAGGTGTAGCCCAGGCGGCATGGACCATCGGTAGAGTCCTTCCTGTCTCCCCGACCGAGTTGATTGATCATGACCGGTTGCAGCTGAGTTGCGAGAGATCATCAACTTGCAGGGGATCAACACTCACATCCTCCCCGAGGAGATTCAACTGGATGCCATCGATGCAGAGGTCTGGACTTGTCTTGCTGTACAACAACGAGGCCTGTCCTGACATACCGTAGACGGTTGCGAAGAAGCGACCGACAAAGCGAATGGTGGAACTGGTTCAACAGACAGCAGGCAAGCCCAAGACTTCCGATGCCAGGAAGGTTGGTTGTCGATGCGCTCTGCTAGATATCTCACTTCTTGCTCAAGAATCTTCACCTTCACTTCTTACAATCTCCCGTGAGGGTGCTAGCTGACGACAAGAATCCCTCCAAGGTTGGAGCGATCGAGCTTAGAAAGTGATGACGACGATTGTGATATGCATCGATGATCCTTTGCTGGCAGGAATGCCCTTGAAGGCCCAGCAGAGAAGAGAAAAGCCGTGCCGACCGACTCGACCAAAACCCTCCCTTGCTCCATGCTCCTGCGCTCGGTCGGCTACAAAAGTCTGCCCATGGAAGGCGCTCCTTTCGACACCAAGGTCCTATCGCCCCCTTACTTCCAACTGTCTACGTGACTCGATTCATCTGCAGAGTCACATTGTGCCTAACGAAGGCGGGAATGTAGAGCCTGGTCTCTACGTGAGCGGGTGAGGAGGAGCGAAGGGGAAAGACCATGGCGATGAGTGTCATGGGGCAGGTGGCTGCGTCGGGGGCCCAGCGGGATCATCGGCACCAACATCACAGATGGACATCAGACGGCGACCTCTGTCTTGCGCCACTGGGGTGAAGGTCAGCAGCTACAGGAGGAGGAGGAGGGGGGGGGGGGGGGAAGAAGAGGGGGCGTCTATTTTCCCTTAACGAGACGGAGGGTACTTGGGCACCAATCCGAGGAAGGAGAGGCTCGATCTACAGATGGTGCACAAGGTAAAAGTAGTTGCTGTTCTGTGACGATTGGGGC